CTCTGGAAACATAAACAAAATACCTAAAGACTGGGGTTTGCCATGTAAAGAAAAGGCCAACACTTAAGACCTAAAAGAAGTCATAAATAATTCTTAGACAAACTGCCTAAAAACAAATATTTCTTTTTAAAAACTTAACGTTAAATTATTCATACACATGTGTGGAGAACCTACTGTGTGCCAGCCAGGCAGAGCTATCTCTTAGTGTTTTACCTTGTGAATGATTCAGAGCAAAACGTCAGTGAAGTAGAGATTTTAATAATAGCCTGCCTAATAAGCCCTAAATATGATGGGAATTAGAACATGGGGAATTTAGCTTAAGGTTACATGTCTCAGAACTCAGTGAGTCTCTAAACTGATTTTATAATTAGGAGCATATTTTTAGCTTGTTTTTCAACTGGAAGATTTTATTATATTCATGTTAATGTATGTAATTTCACCATGGTATTTTTGGGTTTTTAGAAAAGTTGAATTTTTATTCTTCAGTGCCGGAGAGACAGTGGGAAGGTGACAGCTTCCTTTTAATGCCACACTGGATCTCAGGGGGGGAGCTGTGGAAATCAGCAGACTCTGCTCACTGCCCGCGAAATGCTCTTCCCAGGAATGCCTGGTTCACAGAGCATCACAGTGCCAGGTGGCCAGTGCTGGGGATAAAGAGAAGGGGCCGGATGGACGACATCCCCAAGGCTGTCAAGGCCTAGAGGAGGGAACAGTTCTTAGTGAGCCTAGGGAAGTAAGCACAGGCTGAACCCTGGGGGGGGGGGCAGTATCCTCCTGCCTGAGAGAGCAGGGGTAGTGGGACACTGGGAGGCTCGGACTGCAGGAGGAGGCCGGGCTTTGCCATCCGGTCGTGGAGCTCCACTGGCAGTGTTTAAAATAAAGCCCACAGCTTAGGAAGAGGACAGAGAGAAAGACTAATTGAGAGAAATACTTCAAATTGATTTTTATGTATGTAATTGTATGTAAGTGGTCTGTGTGTGCGTTGTATGTACATGGGAGGGGGATCATGCCTGTACACCTATACACCGAGGCCAAAGGAGGACACCAGGTATCCTTCTGTATCACTTTCTGCTTCATTCCTTTGAGACAGGTCTCTCCCTGAACCTGGAGTTAGGCAAGCAGAGAGCAAGGCCCAAAAATCCTGAGAGGAAAGTCCAGACACCAGGGAAAAAGAGATTGCTCTGAGGTTGGGAGACCTATGGAGCTTAGTAAAAGCTTAGCACATGCTAGGAGGCACAGAAGCTGAGGCTAGCTCTAAGACTGACCCTTGGCTAGTGACAGAACAGGGTACCTAGGCTGGGGCAGAGCGGTCTCTACTCCAGTGGTTCTCAACCTGTGGGTCACAACCCCTTTGAGGGTCACATGTCAGATATCCTGTATGTCAGATATTTACATTACAATTCATAACAGTAGCAAAATTACAGTTCTGAAGCAGCAATGAAATAATGTTATGGTTACAGAATGAGGGACTGTATTAAAGGGTCGCAGAGTTAGGAAGGTGGAGAACCAATGGTCTACTCCCATATCTAAGGGCACCTACATACACAGAAAGAGTTGTGGCCTGGGCATTACAAACCCTGGTGGGGCACTGAGCAGGCCATAGAGAGCCACGGCGTGGGCCCACCCCAACAGGTGACCAGGCAACATTGCCACTAGGTGATCTCAGGGGAGGCCTGGGCTACCTCTCCAGTGATGTGCAAGGCAGAGCCACAGTCCAGAGAGAACCATGCCCAAGCCACATGGATTTGCCTGAACAGGTGTTTTAGCTGCCGCTCTTGCTTCTAAGACAAAATTCCCAGCAAATGCAGCTTCAGGAAGAAAGCGTTTACTTTACTTTGCCTCATAGTCTGAGGGATGGTAGCGAAGTCACAGGAGAAGGAAGCAGTCGGCCACGTTGCATCCCACAGGCAGGAAGCAGAGGGATGCAGGAAGCAGAGGGATGCAGGAAGCAGAGGGATGCAGGAAGCAGAGGGATGCAGGAAGTAGAGCGATGCAGGAAGCAGAGGGATGCAGGAAGCAGAGGGATGCAGGAAGCAGAGGGATGCAGGAAGCAGAGGGATGCAGGAAGCAGCTCACTTAGCTTTTTCCTTTTCACTAAGCCTGGGACCTTAGTCCATCGATGGTGCTGCCCACATTCCTGGTGGATCTTCTTCATTTCTGGAAACCCTCTTAGGTACACCCAAGGGTGTGTTTCCATGGTGATTCTAAACCCGGTTAAGCTGACAATGGAGATGTGCCATTACACCAGGATTCTTACTTGGGACCTTTCTGTCACCTTTCTTCAATCCTTTATTCCTCCCTTCTGGAACTGGGACGTCAATCCCCACCTGTCCAAATGCTATATTTAGAAGGGCATATCATGTTTGATTTCAGATGTTCACAACTGGTGAGAAGTGTTACCTGAGGATAAACCAGACTTTGAGTCTTAACCATAGTTAATTTGGTATTGCTGATTTTTTTTTTTCTTTTTCTCAGGGAATGGGCGTCCAACCCAGGTCCTTGCACTATACCAGGGAATTATCCTGCCCTACCATGCTTGATTTAGATGAGACTTTAGGCTTGGTGCTGTGAGACGTTAGGACTGTTGTGTTATTTGGATGAATGAATTGTAGTTTGGGTATATAGAAATAAAGTTGGGGTGGGAGGCGCTGGTGGAAGAATACTATGGACTGAATGTTTGTATTCTCCAAATTCACATGTTGAAATGATCCCCACAATATAATCTTATTAGGACAAATGGACTTTGGGAAGCTTTTACCACATGAGTGTGGACCTCTCATAAATGGGATTAGAAAACCCCAGAGAACACCCTCCCTCCCTCCCTCCCTCCCTCCCTCCTCCCTCCTCCCTCCTCCCTCCCTCCCTCCCTTTCTGCCAGAATGCGGTACCAGGGCCTGCCCTGCCCAACCTCAGACATCAACTTCAGAAGCCACCCTATCTCTGCTAGTTCATCATGGCAGCCAGAGCAGAGCCTGGGATGGTAGTGATGGGGACGGCCATGGAGCTGTAGAGGGAAGAGGTTGGGTGGAGCAGTGGGGGGTGGGGGGCAGGATCACAAAGGCAGGTGCAGGGCTTGGGGAGAGGACTCGGAGGTTGTCTCAACTCCCATAAGGCCTTGAGAGAACTGTGTGTCTCAGGGAAGGAGGAAGGAGTTGCAGCTTCAGGATTCGGGGGCGGGGCTTTATGCTACTTCTAATCCTCCTCCCTGAGTCAGGGAGAGATGGGGTCTCCTGGACTCCTGCCGTCTGCCCAGCCTCCGTTGTTGTTGCTGTTGTTGTTGCTGCTGTGCTAGAACACCCAGACCGAGAGTAACTAAGGAGAGAAAGGGTTTATTTAACTCAAATCAAGGCGGGAACTTGGAGCAGCTGTCACATCACACCCACAGTCCAGAGCAGAGAGAAATGGACACATGCATGCTTAGACCACTTAGCTTAGGTTCTTCTTCACTCTTACACTGTCCATGACCCAAACAGGGAACGGCCCAAAGGTAGACTGGGTTTTCCCACTTCAGTTAACCTAATCAAGACAATTCCTCCGCAGACGTGGCTGATACAGATAATCCCTCATTCAGACTCTTTTGTCTGGTGGTGCTAGGCTGTGTCAAATGTCAATAAAAATAACCATCCCCACTTCCCAGCAAAAGAACCCTCTCTTCTCTTAAACTTCCTTGTTTCTCTTGCTTGTCCTGCCCTGCCTCCCATCTACTCATCCAAGAAGGAGCAAAGCTTGGGGCTGGAGCAGTTCAGTGGTTAAGAGCACTTGTTACTCTGGCAGAGGACCCGCGGTTCGGTTCCCAGCATCTACGTAGTGGCTCACAATCATCTATAATTCCAGTTCCAGGGGATCTAATGCCCTTTTCTAATTCCCAAGGGCACTAGGCAAACACGTTGGTCACAAACATGCATGCAGGCAAAATACTCATACACACAAAAGGGGGCCAAGCCAAACCATTAACATAGCTGCCTCAAAACCCCAGGAACCGGAACTGGTCCCTTTAAACCAATACCCACAGGTGGAGTGTGAAGGGGGCATTTGTAGGAAAATTGTAGCCTACTCTCACTCCCAGATACCTACAGAACTGGCTGCAGCTGCTTCAGACAAAGAAAGGCTGCTGTCACCTGGACACCGACCAAGAGGAGTAGGCTGGCTAGCCGCTAAGGGGACCGGGCAGCAGGACCTCCAGATTCCCATGTCACACCCGAACTGGCCCCATGATGGAAGAGCCTCGTGCCTTGGCCCGCGCTCCCCTTCCCTCTGAGTGGATCTGAGCTTATGCTACGCCACACACCTACTTCTCTAGCTCATCTGCACTTTCTGAGCCCTGTACTAGCTAACCAACAGTAAGGCGCAGATCTCAGAGATCAATGATCCGGGGAAATCCAACAAGAGGTTTCAGGAAACTTCGACCTTTCTCTTTAACTCCGGTCTGCTAGCCTTTGGGGTCGCTGGGAGAGATTGTTCCAGCAGACACATCCACTCAGGAGAGACGTCTGCATTGGGGTTCCTTCCCCCGCTCCCCGGCACACACACACCATGAGAGTCAAGAGCCTGCGTGCAGGGGGCACCGCTGTTTCTCCTCCAACTAGACCGAGTGACAGAGACATGATTCAAGAGACTCAGCTGTATGGGAACTGCCAAGGGTCCCCGCTGTGGGCAAGGCACAGATCTAGGGATGGGACCAAGGGTCGCCTTGCCCGCGCCTTCCAGGAACCCAGGGCGGAGCTGCCGCAACCGACCCGCCGGCAGCAGGGGGAGACTGGCGGAGGCAGCTCGCAGTCTCTCTGTCCCCGCGTCTCTCGGCACCCAGCGGCCGCGGGGGAGGCAGGCACCGCGGGGCTGCGGTCCATGTGGGGAGTCACCGCCCCCTGGTCCGGGTGCACCGAGCCCCAGCGCCCCCACCCCGCCGCCGCTGGCCTCGCCCCCGCCGCGCGCGCCCGGCCCGCCTCCCCCGTTGCCGTGGCAACCCCGGGAGCCTCCAGGCGCGCTCTCGTCCGCGGGAGCGCTCGACAGTGGCGGCGGCGGCGGCGGCTGCAGCTCCGGCTCCAGCCGCGCGCGCTGCGACCTCTCTTCGGAGTCCGCGCGTTGCCCCCGGCCGGGCCCTGGGCCCCACGCCCGCCCCTGCGCCTGCCGGGTCGCCCGACCCCATGGAGCTGCTGGCTGCAGCCTTCAGCGCCGCCTGCGCCGTGGACCACGACAGCTCCACCTCGGAGAGCGACACGCGCGACTCGGCGGCGGGACACCTGCCCGGCAGGTGAGGACCGGTGGCATCCCGGCCCCCGGCACGCCGTCCCCACCTACTTCCTCCCACTCGCGCCCCGGGAGATTTTCACGGACCCCTGCGGCCTATCCGGGTCCCTGACCCCCGGGTTCCTGCTGCCCCTTACTAACTCTAACCCGTCGGACCTGCATCCCGCTCCCCCCAATCCCGAGAGCCGTGCGTCCCGGTCCAGGTTACTAGCACCCAGTCCCTGCGTGGGATGGCCTCCTGCACCCTCTCCCTAAACACCCAGAGCGCGCGTATCCTGCCCTGCGCCCCTCTCTGCGCCCTGAGTCTCTGGGACTGGAGGATCAGAGCCCCCAGTGGGGCCAGGGGGCCCGCGACAGCTAAGGGCGTAGGGTGGCAGCGAGCTGGCAGGACCCGTTGGGGCGCCTTCCACGCTGCAGAGCGGCCAGGGTACGCCAAGTTTCCGACGCCTGCCCGCGAGCTCGAAAAACATGAAGGTTTGGGCGGAATGGTGTAGGAGTGAATCACCCCGTCGCACCCTGGTATGGTGACAAAAAGGGTTTGTAGGGCTCGCCCGGCCCGGACACGTGGCGGCCACTGTGGCCCCCTCGGTTTGAACGCGCGCAGGGCAGTACCCCTGGCCAGTAGCCGCTTGTGCCGACGGAGAGTTGCCTCTTGCGATCTAGCCAAGGTGTGTCGTTGCTTGAAAATAAACGGCCCTCTTTCTCCTCCCTCTCTTACAGCGAGTCATCTTCCACCCCTGGAAATGGGACCACGCCCGAGGAGTGCCCGGCCCTCACCGACAGCCCCACTACGCTCACCGAGGCCCTGCAGATGATTCATCCCATTCCCGCCGACTCCTGGAGAAACCTTATTGAACAAATAGGTGAGTCCCGGGTGGGGAGCGGCTCATTTGGGCCATGCGAGTCTGGTGGACTCTGGGGAGGTGGGGAGAGCCTAGCTACTGGGCTGGCAGGCGGCTTTTGACATGAGTGGTTCTAATGGTTTCCTAGGCAGAACTGCCGTGTTTTATTAGTGCTGCACGACTGGGTTAATTTAGCCCGGAATTGTGGGGGTTTTGTGAGACTGAGGCTCACACTGCAGCCCTGGCTGGCCTGGAATTTACTTGTAGCCCAGGCTAACCTGGACCTCGTGAAGGCAACGCTGGGCTGTAGCAGCGAGTTTTGATCCTGATGTCTCTTGGAGAACACTCTTGGTCCAGCCCTTTCCTGTAGAAAATGCTGTTTCTGGTCACTTCTGCCCCGAGACGGGGAAGGGAGTAGCCTGGCTGGAGAGAGGATGGAGCCTTTCTTGGCTTCATCAGGGAGGTCCTGAGAGGACCTGGAAGGTAGCCAGAAGTTGAAGCTGTACTCAGGCACTCTGGGAAGAACCAGGCTGGCTGTGCCCTCTTTGCATGAGTGGAAATGAGAGAGGCAGGAATGCCACCGGATTCAGAAGACGAAGAGACTCTTTCCAAAAGGTTGCCCAGGATGGACCCAAGGGAACAGCACTTGGGGAGTCTTACTCCTCCAGAGCTGGGAGGAAGCCCTATGAGTCCTCAGAGGACTGAGGTGTCGCAATTGAAAAAAGTGCTGCTGACATTGAACCACATCTGTTACCACCAGGATCACCTGTGAACAGCTCTTGTTAATCAGAAAATGATGCTAGCTAGCTGCTTTGAAAATATTCTGGGATGTCACTGGAGCCATCAACAGTCTATTCTCTTAAATATAAATTTTATATTTTGAATATAGTTATTTCCTATGTATTTAATATGTAATTATCTTCCATTGCCAAACCCTGTGAGGGACACAGTGTCTCCAGGGAGGAAGCGGGACAAACCCAGCTGTAGGAAGACTTCTTAGGAAGGCTACTTACTCTTTTGAGCTCAGATCTTCCTGCCAGGGCCCTGGGGGGAGGGAGCAGGAGGCTAGGAGATTGCCGCTGAGCATCAACTCTGGTTTTGTCTCTGTGGTTCTCTACCAGTCAGGCTGAGGATGCTGGGGATGTGAGTGTGTGTGTGCGATGTCTCTGGCACCTAACTTGGTGCTTGGCACGTAGACACTGCTTGTTAAATAATAAGTGAGTAGCTTGCCCTTTACAAGTAGGCTTGGAAGATTCAAAGAAAAAATGCTTTCTCTTCGGGAAGACAGATTTTTGAAGGGTGGGATGGGGCAGGGTACTGTGGTCAGAGGAACCGGGGACTCCCCCTCTAACAGAACATGGCCAAGCCAGTACAGATCATTTCAGTAAGAATCGGGAGCAAAACCTTTGTGCTCTGCCTGCAGATCACATAAGCGTGAGCTTTGACAGGGAGAGTTAACAGCCCAGGGGGCTTACTGGTGGTACAGATAGGAAAACAAACCAAACCATGCGACAGTAACAGTACGGTGAGAACAGAAGGTGCACCGGTAAATCTGTTCCATTTATATGGAAATTGGATTTAAGACAATTTAAGATAAAAACAAAAGATTATGAAAAATTATGTTAGACGATTGTAATCATGGTAACCCTGGGAGGATGAAAGCTGGAGTGCCCCTGGGGGGGCAGGAGAGAGTGTGGAACCCTTTGATAAGTTCTAACATGGCTTGTGTTGAGTGTTGGTTGGAAATAACACTATCCAGAAGCAAAAGGTCTTCGGCAATGGAGGTGGCCCGTCTTGTTTGAGTGGAGAGGTAAAAGGTTCAAGAGTGGGTTCCTTCACCTACCAGTCACCCAGCTATGTTTTCTACACTCCCTACTTTATTTGGGTTTTGTGTTAGGAGGTGGCAGTTATCGCTCCAGGAACCACACCCTCAAGCTGAGGTCTGTAAAGGCAGGAAGGGCGGTTTGTCTTCACATGTCTACTGGGGATGGATACTATCTTAGTTTGTGTTCTGTTGCTGTGAAGAGACACCACGACCAAGGCAACCCTTACAAAAGAAAGCATTTAATTGGGGCTTCCCTAGAGTTTCAGAGGTCCATTATCATCATGGCGGGGAGCATGGCATGGAACTGGGAAGTAGCTGAGAGCTGCATCCTGATCCACAGGCAGGCAGGCAGGCAGTAGGCAGAGAGAGGAGAGAGATACCGGGCCTGGCATGGACTTTTGAAACCTCAAAACTCACACCCCCCCCCCCCACACACACACATACCTTCTCCAACAAGGACACACCTCCTCCAGTAAAGCCACACCTTCTAATCCTTTTCAACAGTCCACCAACTGGTAACCAAGCATTCAAATATATGAGCCTATGGGGGCCATTCTTATTCACAGAACCACAGACACCATTTTAAGAGACTCCTAAAGATATCCCCCTTTCCTGTCTCATACCTTAGATTGAATGTCTTGCTGTATTTTGTGTCGCTGTGACAAAATGCCTGAGGCTGGGACCTTTATACAAAAAGGTGGTTCTTTAGCTCACATTTTTATTAGTGTAAGAGCAGGGCACCAGTGACTGTTGGCCCTGGTGAGGGCCATTCCACACACAGGAATGGTAACAAGGCAAGGCTATGAGAGGGAAGCTAGAGAGGTTTCATTTTAGAATAACCTGCTCTTGATCTAAAGCTCTGCTGGAACCTTTCAGAGGAGATGCCTGTGCCACTTAATTACCTTCTGTGGGGCTACCCTTCACCATTGCTACAATGGAGACCAATCAGATGGGCACATGAACCTTTGGGGAAAATGCTACATCCAAATCTTAACATTAAGTAATTTATGTTTTAGAGATTGTCCCCTCAGAGTTCTGCTACAAGTCAGTCACCCCGGCCCCCAGCAGAGCTGTGTCTGGCTAAGGCTGCTCTCTCTGCTTCCTGGATCATCTAAGAGTCCCACATGGCAGAGGAACAGTGCAGCACCCTCCAGCCCCTTGGATAAATTCCACCTATGGGACCCACTTCCCCCAAGACCCTTCTTCCTAACACTATTACAGGGGGCTCTAGATCCCAGCATAGGAATTGATGTGTGTGTGTGGGGGGGGGGGGGGGAGCATCAGCGTTCAGACAGCAGACACCTCGGTCCCCCGGTAGTGTCATACGCAGGTACTGAGACCCACTACCACTGGTGATGGAGGTGAGAGCCTCCATCAGTCCCCGCCCACTTTCCTGAGCACAGAATGTCCAGACCAGCCCTCCCCTCTCCAGTGGAAAGCAGCAGCAGTGGGAGGGGACAGGGAGAGGCGGCATCCACTGTGAAGTACTTTCAGAAATACCATTTTCAACACAGCTACCCACAGTGCTGGTATTTTTGCCTCCCGTCAGCACATGGGCCTCTGAGAAGTCTGGGGTAGTACTTGCCTGCAGTTTGCTGGCTGTGGCATAAGATGTGTTTTTGAGCCTTTAAAACGTGCTAAGTTAGATGCTTTCAGGAAGCTCAGAAATGGTGATTTTAAAAGGTGTTCAACCATGACTAAGCACTGCTAAGTTGTCTGGAGGAAGCCCCAGCAAACATGGTCAGAATCTCTGGGTGATAATTAGTGTGGAGAATTGGGGAGGCAGCAAAATGCTGGCTATACAAGTACGAAGACTTGGGTTAGACCTCCAGAACCCATAAAAGTCAGGCATGCCAGCACAATTTGTAATCCTAGCGTTGAGGAGGCAGATAAGGAGTACCCCTGGGGTTCACTGGCTAGCTAACCTAACTTTCTTGGTGAACCCCAGGCCATTAAGAAACCCTGTCTCAAAAGAAAAAACCCAAGGTGTCCAGCACCTGAAGAATGATGTATGCCCTCCACATATATGCACACACATGTTGCTCCAATGGTCACAAACTAGCACCCATGTATATATGTTGTGTGTATGTTGACCTGGTTTCTGAGGTGACATTAGACCATCCTTGGAGAAGAGCATAACGTAGGTGGAGTTTAGCATGGATTTTGATGCTCATTAGCATCCCTTTGGCCAATGAACTCCATGTTGAATTCTGCAAATCGGAGACCTGTAAAAACACAGGATCTCAGTCCTCTGAAATCAGGGCTGTCCTGCCTTGTTGTAAAGGCTTCATAATGTGGAGTCACAGAGTCACCAAGTGTTGGAAGCAAGTAATTTAATTCACAGAATGGATTTATGCCAGACTCACCCCTGCCAGTGAACAGTTTATCCCTCTGCTGTCAGGGTTTCCTCGGCGATCTAGTTCTCTCTTCTTCCTTCCTACTGGTTAGACGTAATTCCGAGCCACATGCAGAGGAAATGGCGGCTCATGTCTGTGCTGCTGCCCCAGTAAGGACTTTGCAAGGGTCCCACTTAACCTAACTGGATCTTGCATGAGGAAAGTACCTTTCCCAGAACTTCAAACTCTGTGCCAGAGTATCCAGCTGCCTGACGGGACTCCCCTGGCACCCCAAGTATCCTTGCATCTCTGTTACCCCAGCCCTCTGCTCCCTGCCTCCACCAATGGAGCCATCAGACCTCTTGCCAAACTGGTTACCTGAATGTTATTGGCGATCCAGTGCCAGCTAGCTGCCAGGGCTCATCTTCTACCTTGTAACCATGCCATGGTTAGGGCCTTGGCTCTGCCCTGCCTCCACTTCATTGATGACCTTGTCCTTATAGTCCTGGGAAAAGCCGTGGGCCCTCTCCTCCCTGACATGCCCACAGACACGTGAGCATGCCTATCTGGGGTCTACACAGGCCCTTAGGGCAGAGTTCTACCTCTATAGCATGACCCACAAGACTCTTGGGGTAACCCCCTTCTACCGTCTCTTGGCAGGCAGTATCTCACACCCTTGTCCCTGCCAGCCTGGGTGGAGGGACTGTCACTCTGTTCTACAGCCAGAATATCCCCACTATTTTTTCTTGTTTCTTTTCTGTGATGTGCTGAGTTTACACTGATCCATGAGAACCCCTAGTCTGCCCCCTGAGATTTGGGTCACATTGGTTTTTTAAATGCAATTGGTCAGGGAATACCAAGGAGAGGCAGACAAAACAGTTTCCTTTGGGCTCATTTGACGAGACACTGATTCAACATGAAAACTCAGAACCACTCCCGGCGCAGGGATGGACGGACTTAGGTTTTAATATTGAAACATTGAAAGCTGGGGAAAGGACCCTAGGGGGAGATTGAAGCATAATTGGGCCATTTCCATCAATTTTGCATGCGTGCCTATTAACACATCAAGGTCTGCATTCTTGTTTTTTCCAGTGTGCGTGGGAAAAGCCATTTTGAATCTACTCAGGGATTTCTTTACTTGTCAGAGGAAACTTACACATGCTGATCTTCCCCAGCAATGAAGGCGATGGGTGGTCTCTTCTGCGGGGCCAGAGCCTGCTGCTGAGGCCTGGGGCGTACTGGCTTTCTCTGTGTATGCATGGGGCTTCGAAGGGGTCCTCACCCGACCTCCTGTGCTTGTCTATGTTGTAATTCTTTGATTTCAGGGCTCCTGTACCAAGAGTATAGAGATAAATCAACTCTCCAAGAAATCGAAACCCGGAGGCAACAGGATGCAGAAATACAAAGCAACTCGGATGGGTCCCAGGCTGGGGAAGACACCCCAGAGGAGGAAGAGGAAGAGGAAGAGGAGGAACTGGCCAGTCCACCTGAGAGGAGAGCTCTGCCTCAGATCTGCCTGCTCAGCAACCCCCACTCCAGGTTCAACCTCTGGCAAGACCTTCCTGAGATCCAAAGCAGCGGTGTGCTGGACATCCTTCAGCCTGAGGAGGTCAAGCTGCAGGAGGTAATGCAGGTTCCAGGTGGGCCAGGGCTGGACATGTCTGTCGAACACAGATAGGGAAAGAGACATTTCACAGGTCACAAACCTCAGGCACTTTCTGGCCTGACTCAGCACTCATGCTGAGTGTTAGAAGCATTGATTTTTTTTAATTAATTAATTAATTTATTTATTTTGGTTAGACAGGGTGAATGTCTTTCTGCTCTGGTGACACTGAAGCCCTCGGTGGTACAGAACTGTGAAATGACTGCAGTCCTCTGCAGGTGACAGGGTCATTTGTGCTTCTTCTCACATTTAGGGGCCGTGTGGATTCTGGATGGATGAGGATCCAAGAGACCTTTTGTGTGAAGGTCCTGGACACTCTCCTTGAGGTGCCCAGTAAGCGGCACAATGATTGGTTTCTAGCAGTGAGAAATAATCCATGGGAAATTATCAGCAACAGAAACATGTAACAAGTGTTTGTTTTTGTTGAGCAATGATCTTGATCTTGTAAGTACCAGGAAAGTATAGTAGAGAGGAGAGGATGGTCATGGGAGAAAGAGTGGTCAAGTGTGTGTGTGTGCGTGTGTGCGTGTGTGCGTGTGTGCGTGTGTGTGTGTGTGTGTGTGTGTGTGTGTGTGTGTGTGTGTGTGTATGTGTTTGGGGGGGGGCAAATGACCATAATGACCAAAACAGAGTCTAGTTTCTGCCTGCGTCACCCAGTTCAATTCAGGCTCTGCTACTGGGGGAGGAAGCAGTTTTGAAGGACCGCCTCGGGTTCATGTGTGTGTGTCCTGTCTGGCAGAATCAAGTAGAAATATATTTAAACTTTGACATCCTACCTAGCATGGGACCACATCAAGACCTTATTTAGGTGGTTGTTGTCATTGAGTGAAACTTAGGGATCAATTCATATATTTAAAACTTTGAAACACAATATAAACCTTTTCCAGCACAAGTGGACCTAAACACAGAGGAGCGTGTCATCTGTGTATAACACAGGAAGGGGACAAACGGCATAGAATTGGGACTGGGCGTGCGGCACATGTCTGTGATTCCAGCACACCATGGCCAGAGGCAGAAAGATTGTGAGTTCAGAGTCATCCTCACCCACATAGGCAATTAGAGGCCAGCCTGGGCTACACAAGAGCCTGCCTCAAAAACTAAAACAGAAACGGAAGCAAAGAAAACTAAATAGCGTAAATACAGTGGGCCGCTTGCACATGCCCCAGTCATAAAGGTAATGAACACTAGAGAACTCTCTAGTGGGTTAGAAAACCAAGCCACCACATTATCAGACACAGAAAATACCGTCAGAGGCCCTTCGGGTGGGTAAAGGTGCCACTTATTTCTAAATGTGTTAAAATTCCACAAGTGCCCCACCAACATGCTTTCATTATTTTTTCAAAAGCAGACAATGCCAGCGCCTTCCCTGGGCCCCTCGCAGCTTTTAGCTGAGTTTTTATGAAAACCACCTCTGTTCTGCTGGGCATGAGAGTGCAAGCCAGGGATCCCTTCCCAGCTGGAAGGCAGACTTGCAGGCTGCACGTGGAAACCCTGTCTCAAAACAGCCCATTCCCTCGGCATCCACACACACACATGCTTTTCAGCATTGAAAGGGACCAACCACATGAGAGTCAACAAGCGGCCTGAATAAGGACGGAGGAGCATAGAGGACCATAGGGGTCGACGGTGCTCCCTGGCTGGCCAGGGTGCTCTGTGGACACAGTGCAGGGGTGGCATGTGTGTGGTACAGCCTTTTACTCTTGCAAGATCATGGGCACCTCACAGCAGTGAAAAGGTATCTCATATCAGATCCCAACACAGGGCATTCAAAAGGCAGTGTGGGCTGAGCAGCCCCACGTGGAAAAGCATAAAGTTAAAATGCTCCAAAATCAGAAACTTCGATCATAGACATGATGCTACAAGCCAACATTTCTACACCAGTGAACCGTTTCACATGTAAAACCTTTGAAAACATTTTAGGTAAAGTTACTTTTAGGGAACTGGAGATTTGGCTCAGCAGTTAAGAGCATTCGCTGTTCTCCTGAAGACCTGGAGTTTGGCTCCCTGCACCATGCTGGTCTGCTCATAATCACCTGTAAACTCCAGCTCCAGAGGATCAACACACTCTGTCCTCTGCAGACACACACACACACACACACACACACACACACACACACACACGAATTAAATTTAAATTACTTTTTAAGCTGTGTGCCTAAAATGCTTATAAACATAAATGAGTTCCATAGTTAAATAAGCCTCATTTCCAACATTGCTCATTTCTATGCAAATATCCTCAAACCCAAAAATGAAAATCTGAAGTCAGAAACTCTGCTGGTTCCAAGTGTTGGGGTAAAGATACTGGAGTTTTACCCTGTTACCAACTGTGGGAGAGGCTGTGATCACCCATATCTCTACTTCCAGTCCATTGAATGAAGAGTGTGTCTTGTTTAGGTATCTTATTTTTGCCTCTTTTCTTTTTTCCTCCTCCTCTTCTTCTTCTTCAAGACAGGGTTTCACGTAGCCCAGGCTGGCCTCAAACTCACTGGGTATCAGAGCCTTGAACTTTTTAAAAATAGTATTTTATCTTATTTATTTCTAAATATTTATTTTACATGCATGTCTTGCTTGTGTGTATGTCTGTGTCCCTCATGTGTGCCTGTGCCCTCAGGTGTCAGAATAAGGTGGTCAGATCCCATGGAACTGTAGTTAGGGGTGATTGTGAGCTGCCACTCTGGTGCTGGGACCCAAGCCCAGGTCCTCTGCAGGAGCTGTATGTGCTCTTAACTGCTGAGCCATCTTTCCAGCCCCAGCCTTAAACTTTTGATCCTCTTGCCTCTACCTTCTGAGTACAGGGATTTCAGGCATGTGCTGACGTGCGGTGTTTAGCCGGTACTGAGGATGGAACCCAGGACACATGCTAGAAAAACATTCCACCGACTGACTACATGTACCCCAGCCTCACTGCCTCCTTTTCTGGTGGGCTTCTGTACTGAGGTTCTTGATCAAGGATTGGCTTTTTTTTTTTTTTTTTTTTTTTTTTTTTGGTTTTTCAAGACAGGGTTTCTCTGTGTAGCTTTGTGCCTTTCCTGGAACTCTCTTTGGAGACCAGGCTGGCCTTGAACTCACAGAGATCCGCCTGGCTCTGCCTCCCGAGTGCTGGGATTAAAGGCGTGTGCCACCACCGCCCGGCGGGGATTGGCTTTTATATATTCTGGATATCAATTCTTTTGACATTTTTCATGTTTTCCCCCGCAGTGTAGCATAGGGGAAGTGAGAGAATGATTACTCTCTCCTGTACTGTCCCCCACCGACCTTTTGATTCTTCACTGCCACCACTTAGCTGTGTGACATTGGCTTATCCGTACAACGCCACTATCTGGATCGACCTCTGTTGCCACACTAGTACAGAGACTGGGTCATTGATAAAGATGTGTGTTCCACTTGAGCTTCTGGGAGCTAGGAGGTTCAAATGAGCTGCATCTGATGGGGGCCCATGCTGCTTCACCTCGCAGTGGGAAGCCGAAGGCAACCGAGCATGTACAAAGAGAGAAAAGGGCGCAGAATCCCCCAATAGCTTCCCTATTCCCAAGAGAAAAGCAGCACTCATGCATGGGGGCACCTTCTCTACCCCAAGCACCTCCCAAACTGAGAGCCAGGCCTTGTGTGGGCCTCAGGGGGACACGAGCCATGGCAGGGTTCTCCTGGCTCATGCTGTTGCTCTGCACGGATCATGAGAATTTCCAAGTTCAAGATCAAGCAGGTGCCCCTTCCTAGTCCCTGGGCTTCTCCCCCTGCTACAGCTGTCTTCCTTCATGAAAATCCTCTCTTCCTCTTTTAGAAAATCTTCAGCCTGCTTATGTGTTCCTTCCTGGTCATTTGGGTGGTGTCTGAAGAGGGAGAGAGGCTCACTTCAGGGAGTGGAGCCCTGAGGAGTGGGGCCTTAGGGTCCAGTAGGTTGCCACACACATGCTGTACTGTAGGAGAGAGACAGCAGGGACACAGGGGCCTGAAGAAGAATCATAGGGTAGTCTGTGTCCAACACTCATCATACTCCAAAGACAGTGCGGTGGAAGAGGATGTAAGCCACCTCACTCAAAATCTTTACAGCCAGTGTGGTGACTTGTGCTTGTAATCCCAACACTCAAGAGGCTGAGGCAGGAGGATTGCTGGAGACTCATGGACCTTTTCTTTAAAACATAGTTTCAAATTTATTTATTATTGTTGTGTGGATGTGCATACGCAATATGTGTATGGCTGTGCGTGCCACTGAGTCACATGGAGGTCAAAGGACAACTTGGTAGCGTTAGTTCTTCCTTTCACCTCCATAAGGGGTCCAGGGATCAAACTCAGGTCATCAGGCTTATGCAGCAAGGACCTTTACCAACTGAGTCATCTGCCCAACCTGAGACTCCTATTTCTGCTCTAAAGAGAAGTGGTGTTTATTTCCAGGAACCATAAATACCACCAAAAACGGCTCAACAGTTAAGAGCACTGGCTTCCCATTCTAGGGGACCTGAGTTCAGTTCTTAGCACCTGCATGGCAATGCACAGCAATCAGTAATCCCAATTCCAGGGGATCCAACACAATCTTCTGGTGTCCCCAGGTATCAGGCATGCACATATTGCACAGACATACATGAAATCAAAATACCCATACATATCAAATACTTTCATTTTAAAAAGGAAAATTTATGTCTATTGTTAGTATCTATTGAAGTTACACAAGTCATAGAACCTCACTACATAGTCTCTCTCTGTTACAGTAAAACAAGAAAATAAAATGTAAATGTTGTAGAAACTTCAAATTGAGCCAGGTGTGGCAATGCACATCTGTAAATCTGTAATCCCAGCATTCAGGATTCTGAGGCAAGAGAGTCTCCAGTTCAAGGCCAACCATGGTTACGTAGTGAGTCTGGGCTGGCTTTTCAGTGTCTCTATTTCACTGACAGTGGTGAGGATGCTACATTGATGGTCCTGTGAACCAGGGTACCTGAGCTGCATTTGGGGAGCACTCACAA